GAAGCACATTAAGGTCCTGGAGAAGCCTAGCCAGTTTCCAGACCTTAATCCCATAGAAAATCTGTGGAGGGAGCTGAAGGTTGAGTTGCCAAACGTCAGCCTTGAAACCTTAATGACTTGGAGAAGATCTACAAAGAGCAGTGGGACAAAACCCCTCCTGAGATGTGTGCAAACCTGGTGGCCAGCTACAAGAAACGTCTGACCTCTGATTGCCAACAAGGGTTTTGCCACCAAGTACAAAGTCATGTTTTGCAGAGGGGTCAAATACTTATTTCCCTCATTAAAATGCAAATCAGTTTATAACATTTTTGACATGCGTTTTTCTGAATTTTTTTGTTGTTATTCTGTCTCTCACTGTTCAAATAAACCTACCATTAAAATTATAGACTGATAATTTATTTGTCATTGGGCAAACGTACAAAATCAGCAGGGGATCAAATACTTTTTTCCCTCACTGTATAACTAGTTAACCTAATTTAACAACCAGGCCCTAAAGGACTGGAATCAGCTCCATGAACAACTGGAATTTCCTGACAGGTTATAAATAGCTCTCTAAAGGTCTATCAGTGAATGACATAACAAGAGGAAAACTGCCATTACACCACCAGATTTGGAAATTGCACCATGTGCATTCTACTATTATTACTCTCAACAGCAGTAAGTTGAACTGGACTGAGTTCCTCTGTAGCTCAGCTGGTAGAGCACGGCGCTTGTAACGCCAAGGGTAGTGGGTTCGATCCCCGGGACCACCCATACACAAAACAATGTATGCACGCACGACTGTAAGTCACTTTGGATAAAAGCGTCTGCTAAATGGCATATTATTATTATTATTATTATTCCTAAAAAGTTGGGACCCGTATTGACCCCGTTCTGGGTCTGGATCACAGTCTGCCAGTTGAGTATGGCTATTACAGGCTGATTGTGTTACCCTAACTTCATTTCTAATACCAAGATTTAAACAATTAAAAACAGTAAGCAAAAATAAATAACAACTTGCTATTTAATTAAGTCTGATAAAAAAATGTGGACATTAGCTTTACCTTAAAAAAACTAAAAAAAAACGTATTTTCTTCAAAACTACAGCATACTATAAAATTCAGCACACAAAATATAACTTTCTGTTAATGTACCCTATATTTCAAATTCCAGATGGCTACAGATAATGGTTTAAGCTGAACAGATCTGAACTCTGCACACAAAGTTAACTTTAAATATGTATATGCCAATGCCATCAGTCTGTGTGGAAAAGAAATAACATAAAAACACCAGTATTGTTACAGTAGTTTAAGAGTAGCCCTTGGCTACAGTTATGTTACTTCATCAGACCATACTCATCAATGCCTTTGAAGCAACAATCAATGCAAATATTCGCTATGAATAGCACACCTTTCAAACATCATCATTGTGACTTAACTTTACTTATTCCAAAAAAAAACGAAGTAAATGTGATGGATACCAGTTTCTAAAAGATTAACACAAAAACAGCAAAAAAACTAAACACTTTTTGAATTTCACACAAATATCGCAATGAATTTGTTAAAATATACTTAAAGATGGAATCTGGAGTAGGGGGAAACAGCGCCACTGGCCACCCCACCACCGTTATCTTTTTTGTTGCTGAGCTGAGGAGCGTTGCGCAGCACAGTAAATAATTGCAGAACATATTGTGCTCTTCAATCGCGCATGCAATGACGTCCAAGAGGAAAAAAGTGTTTGTTGTTTGCAGTCACTTCTTTGTTGTAATATCGCAAACGAACGTGGCTGTTTCACCATGAAGGATTCCAGCTTTAAAGAATTTAAATGCATACATTGACTAGAAAATGTGTAAATATGAATTAATATGGGTGTACAGCTACACAGTAATTTATGATAGAAAAGGCAAAACACTGGTGACACATTACCTATATTTACCTTATTAAACTAACAAACTACTGTAGAGTAAACTTATTTTACACAGATACCCCCAAACAATGGCAGGTGTGTAAGAAAAAATTATATGGTATATGGTCTCTAAAATAAACCAGTTTCCTTCCATGAAAACACCCACGACTAGGTCATCCCTGAGAACAAGATTTGGTTCAGTACGAAGTGCATCCGAGACGTGTTCGGGAAATTATTACAACCATTCAACAAAAAAATATCACCTTTTTACTTCGTCAAAGATCAGATTTACAATAGGAAAAGTTCAAGACAAATTTAGTTGAAGACGTTATCACTAATACCTGTCAGTAAAAGATCTAGGATTGTTTTATTGGACCACTTGCAACAAGAGATGCTCTCAAATCTTGGCGGTCTCAAACCTAATTTAATATTATTGTATTGGTATTCTTTCCATTTTGTGTTGATTAGCCCGATCAACAAGTGTAAATGAGTCATAAACTGAATGATTGACTCAAGAACTAAACAGACTACACGAAAATATACGGGTCTTCAACGAAATGAGTGCCTTTTGCATACCTTTGATATTTTAAGTAGAAATTGTACACACATTTTAAAAGCCTGTTAAATGAAGTGCACTTCAATATAGACCACATGGTAAATTCAATAAATCATATTTTTAAAGAATAAAAACGTGCTAAAGTGCCAAAAGTCAGCATTCAAATATCCCTCTGTGCACCCTCTGTGATGTCTAGGAAGATTTTAACCCACTTAACCCCAAGATTCCTCCTAGTCATTATGTTGCTTTGACAATGTCATTTTTGGCGATTATTATTTATTTAATGTGATAAGTGATTAATTTTAAGGTAAAAAATAAACAATAAAAATTTCCCTAATTTTAAGGTCAAGCCTGTTACATGAACTGAAACCTCATTTTAATATGGTTAAACTATTCCTTTTTAAATAATTTTTTTTCAAAAGAAACATTGAACATAATTATAGTCAAACCCTATTGTAAAAGCAGGTGAGCTGGTTCTACTCTTTTTGGCAATTTTCTAGTGTTTTGTGGTGGAAAACTGTGCGGGTCGAGCATAACACGTCAACCCTGTTCCTCCATAGATAGACAGGCTAGAAATGTTTTAACAATTTCATTTTTTGGGGTGGAGCTTGCATTCAATTGCCCCTCCCTGTTGCACACAACAAGCTTCCATTCTCCCTGTTAAAAGAGGGATTTTATGGCAGCTTTTTAATTATTTTTTTTTTTAATCGTCAACCCTGTTACTTTACAGGCACCTACAATAATATATATATATATATATGTGTATATATATATATATATATATATATATATATATATATATATATATATATATATTGTAGGTGCCTGTAAATATATATATATATATATATATATATATATATATATATATATATATTTACAGGCACCTACAATATATATATATATATATATACACACACACACACACACACACAGTGAGGGAAACAAGTATTTGATCCCCTGCTGATTTTGTATGTTTGCCCACTGACAAAGACATGATCAGTCTATCATTTTTATGGTAGGTTTATTTGAACAGTGAGAGACAGAATAACAACAAAAAAATCCAGAAAAAAGCATGTCAAAAATGTTATAAATTGATTTGCATTTTAATGAGGGAAATAAGTATGTGACCCCTCTGCAAAACATGACTTAGTACTTGAGTGTGCTCCTAATCTCAGCTTGTTACCTGTATAAAAGACACCTGGGAGCCAGAAATCTTTCTGATTGAGAGGGGGTCAAATACTTATTTCCCTCATTAAAATGCAAATCAATTTATAACAATTTTTACATGCGTTTTTCTGGATTTTTTTGTTGTTATTCTGTCTCTCACTGTTCAAATAAACCTACCATTAAAATTAAAGACTGTTCATGTCTTTGTCAGTGGGCAAACGTACAAAATCAGCAGGGGAACAAATACTTTTTCCCCTCACTGTGTATATATATATATATATATTTGCATCTCTAAATGGGAAAACATGTTTGATTAAGTTGAACATGTGCTCTTTATGACAGAATTTTAAAAGGTGAAACAAAAAGTATTTTTTTTTCACCAAGTTACAGTACTCAAAAGGCACCCAATTGGTGGGACAACCAATAGAGGTCAAAACATGGTGTCTTGGCTTTTTTAATTGACCCTGATTTTAAAATGCAGTTAAGCATTTAGAATGTATTAATAATAATTGAGATTTTGTGCATAATAAGAAAAAGGGAAACTGGGAAGCACGAACAATCTAACACTCGTCCTCTTCTTCGTCCACCTCAATATCCTCCTCGTCATCTTGGCCTCGAACCTCGCGACCTCGTGATTCATCCACTTCTTCATCCTTCTCTCTGTACGATGAGTCCTCATCCTCTCTGGCCTCCTGGTCGCTGTCATCAGAGCCTGGAGAATGGAGATGATCAGACCTTTTATAATGAGTTTCCCACTTTGAGCAAATGGCTTGATTAGCATGGGATATAAACAGGGGTTTAACACTGGATTATGGTGAATGCCCAGAAGGAATATAATTATTTTGTACAATTGGTCAAAACTCTTGATCTTAGTTCCTCCTGCAATAAAATGTGTGTGAATGGTGAAAACAGTGAGATGTGAATTGAAGTATCAGGTAACCAAAATGTATAAACAAAGCACACCTTAACACCTAGTAAACGTTTAAAAAATAACTTCCAATGATTGTACAAATACCCCTTATTTAATGTACGAACAGTCTTTGGGTCTACTGGATTTTGCAGAAAATTGGCAGATCAGTGTGAATAAGCTGCTGAGTTTGCATGTAAAAATCACAAAGTCTTCCTGAACCATTCAAATAAATAGACTTTCATCCAAACAATGACTTCATGTTCTGAACTGAGCTGCAAAGCTGACCAGCAGATCCAACAACCTTCCACATTCTATGTGGTTTTCGTATAACATTTCTGCTTGTGGACAATTTCACCTGCATTCCTCATACAGGGACATCTTACTACACAGTTCTACACATTTCTCAGGAGGTAGAGGTAAACCAGCAGACAGTGTGGCCCTAAAGGATTGGAATCAGCTCCCTTACAGTCTTCACTTACCTGCATCTCGGCCCCCATCCTCACCTTCATCCTCCTCTTCCCTGCTACGACCTCTTCCAGGCTTAGCCTGCTCTTCAGCCTGCTCTTCATCATCATCCGAGTCAGAGATCACCACACAATCATCCCTGTTGCGGTTGTCAGCTGGCTTGGGCCCACTGGTGCTGTTGGAACTGCATGTTGTGATCAGGGATGTTAACAATTAACCGTTAATCAGTTAGCAGCTGAAAATACATTTGACCAGTCATGCTTATCGGTCTATAGGTTAATTTGCATAATTGTGTGGAATTAAATTGGCGAGTGTGTATTTTAGTTAGTCATCATGTATCTTATTTATCACACACGCAGAGCATACAGAGCCTAGTTTGAGGAGCGGAATAGCCTACCACCTGTCAGACAGCGTGAGAGTAGCTCCTCAAAAAGCTGCTACTGGAGTGAAAAGTGCTTTTGTCAGCCCAGTCATCGCGTGTTAAAAACTGTTTTGATCACCATGATTAAAAATAGCCACTTTCATTTCTCAATCTCAACTCGTAATTAAAGTGTGCCTCCCATTCGCCATTCGAGTGCATATAAAGTAAACGGTAGGCAGGCTATCAGCGCGTCACCCACCACTTTGCGATGCGAACTTGAGGCAGTATAATTGTTTGAAACCTGAACATTTTACTTTACTTCAAATGAGGCACGTCTTACCTTGCTTCAAAGTAGCCTTGCAAAAATCCATCCATAGAAACATGGAGGCAATTATTTATTAAGACTTCCTCATGCCATTAACCAGCATTTCTCTGGTGTTCAATTGGTTTTCATATCAACTTTATTTTGTTGTCCAGAAGCCAAAAGGCACAATCCTAGTCATATTAGCAACCTATCCTAGTTGTTGCTATTAGATTCCCCCTCTTTCTAAGTTTCTGACAGAGATGAAAATCTCTGTTAGAAACATATGGAACCACTCGCATTAGGTGCGCTGTTTAGAACTGTTTTCCAGCTAAATGCATTTTGGCAAATGTTTGAAAATGACATTTTATTAGCTGCTTCATTACAAGAGTTGCATTTTCAATAATAGGCTATAGCCTTTTGACTGTAAGACGATAGGCTTGCTATTGTTGCCTGTTTCCATTAAGCTCTTGATGAAAAATTTATGTTCCTTGTATGCAACTAGTCCAGTGGTATTTTACATTGACATTTTAGTCATTTAGCAGACGCTCTTATCCAGTGCATACATTTTTCATACTATGCATGCATAGTATTTTCTGTTGGTCAGTCAATTTACTGTTTGGGAAAAATGTAATAGTTTGTTGACCGGATAATGGGGATTGGTTAGTCAGGAGCAAAATTGACTGAAATTTGCATCCCTAGTTGTGATAGTTATGACAATCAAGAGACCTGTCATGTCTTGTTTTTTTACACAAAATGCTTTCTAATTAAAGTGTTTGGTAGCGTTTTAGGCTACATTATTATTATACATTACAACACAGAATAAAGTGGTAATAGCATGGTAATAGTATCATGAAGATGGAAAAGTCCTTATTGAACTTAGTTCCACAAGAAGAGGTTTTGTTGGGCAGCTTACCTGCCATTCTGCCTGGGTTCCCACAGTGGAGTCAGGTAGTATCTCAGAGGGTTTCTGAAAAGGTCATCCTTCAGTATCTTTAGATTCACACGGAACAAAGAGAGAAGAAGTGTGTGTTGGAATAGTGCAGTAACCTTGAGTGTTATAGAGCCTAAAATAAAGTCAGTTGTGTGGTCACCAGTGGATCTGTGCAATGTTCAATGGGCGGCAAATAGCGGCTAAGAGCGTTGGGCCAGTAACCGAAAGGTCGCTGGTTCGAATCACTGAGCCAACTAGGTGAAGAATCTGTCAACTAAAATGTAAAATGTGTCTGTGCTGGAATACTCCACGCATCTCAGACTGTGCACCAGCTCTCAACCTGTGCCAGGCAGTGAGCATGCTGTTACCTGTGCTATATCGTCCCGGCCAGGACTGGTGTGGTCGCTGAACCAGCTGAAGAAGGTCTGGTAGATGCCGCGTCCCGATCTCCTGGGCTCACTGTGGAGTGTCAGGTTCTGCCCGCGGTACCACAGGATGGGGTCGGAGAAAGACACCGGAGATCCTGTGAGAGGACATGTAACAGGGGAAGGATATTGTCATTATTGGCCTAATTTACACCTCTGTGTAGACACAGGAGTCTTGTCCTGTCAATATTTTCCCCGTACTGTCCGGTTTCCGCAACAGTTCTATGACCGACAACTTTCCTGTCCTGTCCCGATATAAAATTACTCCCGTCCAGTGCTCATTTTAACGTGCAACATTTTTTGACGTGCAGAAATCAGAAATAACTTCCTCCGTTAGCTGCTCGTCTGTCGGTCCCCCCCACTCCCTGCACTCTGCTGCATTTGTGTTTCCATAGCAACGGCCCATCATGAGACGCAAGAGAGCTGTTCACTCACTGTTAGCTACTTTTCGTTGCCTGCCCAGCTGATTTTTATTTTTTTTGCTATCTATAAATAAGGACAAACCACCTGGTACCTACAACCTGGATGGTAAATTACTGAGGTTGGTAGCGCAATACATTGTGACTCCTGTTTGCCACATCTTCAATTTAAGCCTAGAAGATGGTGTGTGCCCTCAGACATGGAGCAAGGCAAAGGTCATTCCACTATCCAAGAATAGCAGAGCGCCCTTTAATGGTTCAAACAGCCGACCAATCAGCCTGTTACAAATGCTTAGCAAACTTTGGAAGAAAATTGTGTTTGATCAAATACAAAAAGTTATTTTACAGAAAACAAATTAACAACAGACTTTCAGCACGCTTATAGGGAAGGGCACTCAACATGCTCGGCACTGACACAAATGACTGATGATTGCCTGAAAGAAATTGATAGTAAGAAGATTGTGGGAGCTGTTTTGTTCGACTTCATGCAGCTTTTGATGTCATTGATCATAACCTATTGCAGATTTTTTTTGGGGTGTTATGGATTTGCATCCTCTGCCTTATTATGGATTGACAGTTATCTATCTAGTTTTCGTTAATGGAGGCCTCTCTCATGCAAATTCAGTTGAGTGTGGTGTACTGCAGTACAGCCTGCTAGGGCCATTATTGTTTTCTGTTTTTACAAATGACCTTCCACTGACCTTGAATAAAGCCTGTGTGTCTATGTACGCTGACGACAACAGTATATACGTTGTTTGCTGATGACACAACAGTGGTAGGCCTGATCACGACAATGATGAGACAGCCTATAGAGAGGAGGTCAGAGACCTGGCAGTGTGGTGCCAGGACAACAAAAGGTTATACAGCTGCACCATTGAGAGCATCCTGACCGGTTGCATCACCGCCTGGTATGGCAACTGCTCGGCATCTCACAGTAAGGCGCTACAGAGGGTAGTGCGTACGGCCCAGTACATTACTGGGGCCAAGCGTCCTGCAATCCAGGACCTATATACTAGGCGGTGTCAGAGGGAAGCCCAAAAAATTGTCAAAGACTCCAGTCACCCAAGTCATAGACTGTTCTCTCTGCTACTGCATGGCAAGCGGTACCGGAGCGCCAAGTCTAGGACCAAAAGGCTCCTTAACAGCTTCTACCCCCAAGCCAACAATTAATCAAATGGCCACCCGGACTATTTACATTGACCCCCCCAATTTGTTTTTAGACTGCTGCTACCCGCTGTCTATTATCTAAAGTGAGGGAAAAAAGTATTTGATCCCCTGCTGATTTTGTACGTTTGCCCAATGACAAAGAAATGATCAGTCTATAATTTTAATGCTAGGTTTATTTGAACAGTGAGAGACAGAATGAAAACAAAAAAATCCAGAAAAACGCATGTCAAAAATTTTATAAATTGATTTGCATTTTAATTAGGGAAATAAGTATTTGACCCCCTCTCAAATCAGAAAGATTTCTGGTTCCCAGGTGTCTTTTATACAGGTAACGAGCTGAGATTAGGAGCACACTTAAAGTGCTCCTAATCTCAGCTTGTTACCTGTATAAAAGACACCTGTCCACAGAAGCAATCAATCAATCAGATTCCAAAATCTCCACCATGGCCAAGACCAAAGAGCTCTCCAAGAATGTCAGGGACAAGATTGTAGACCTACACAAGGCTGGAATGGGCTACAAGACCATCGCCAAGCAGCTGGGTGAGAAGGTGACAACAGTTGGTGCAATTATTCGCAAATGTAAGAAACACAATAACTGTCAATCTCCCTCGGCCTGGGGCTCCATGCAAGATCTCACCTCGTGGAGTTGCAATGTTCCTGAGAACGGTGAGGAATCAGCCCAGAACTACATGGAAAGTTCTTGTCAATGATCTCAAGGCAGCTGGGACCATAGTCACCAAGAAAACAATTGGTAACACACTTAGCTGTGAAGGACTGAAATCCTGCAGTGCCCGCAAGGTCCCCCTGCTCAAGAAAGCACATATACAGGGCCGTCTGAAGTTTGCCAATGAACATCTGAATGATTCAGAGGAGAACTGGGTGAAAGTGTTGTGGTCAGATGAGACCAAAATCAAGCTCTTTGGCATCAACTCAACTCGCTGTGTTTGGAGGAGGAGGAATGCTGCCTATGACCCCAAGAACACCATCCCCACCTTCAAACGTGGAGGTGGAAACATTATGCTTTGGGGGTGTTTTTCTGCTAAGGGGACAGGACAACTTCACCGCATCAAAGGGACGATGGACGGGGCCATGTACCGTCAAATCTTGGGTGAGAACCTCCTTCCCTCAGCCAGGGCATTGGAAATGGGTCGTGGATGGGTATTCCAGCATGACAATGACCCAAAACACACGGCCAAGGCAACAAAGGAGTAGCTCAAGAAGAAGCACATTAAGGTCCTGGAGTGGCCTAGCCAGTCTCCAGACCTTAATCCCATAGAAAATCTGTGGAGGGAGCTGAAGGTTCGAGTTGCCAAACGTCAGCCTCGAAACCTTAATGACTTGGAGAAGATCTGCAAAGAGGAGTGGAACAAAATCCTTCCTGAGATATGTGCAAAACGGGTGGCCAACTACAAGAAACGTCTGACCTCTGTGATTGCCAACAAGGGTTTTGCCACCAAGTACTAAGTCATGTTTTGCAGAGGGGTCAAATACTTATTTTCCTAATTAAAATGCAAATCAATTTATAACATTTTTGACATGCGTTTTTTTCTGGATTTTTTTGTTGTTATTCTGTCTCTCACTGTTCAAATAAACCTACCATTAAAATTATAGACTGATCATGTCTGTCAGTGGGCAAACATACAAAATCAGCAGGGGATCAAATACTTTTTCCCCCCACTGTATGTATAGTCACGTTACCCCTACCTACATGTACAAATGACCTCGACTAATCTGCACCCCCACACATTGACTTGGTACCGGTACCCCCTGTAGATAGTATATAGCCTCGTTATTGTTATTTTATTGTGTTACTTTATTATTTTTTACTTTCGTTTATTTGGTAAATATTTTCTTAACCTCTTTCTTGAACTGCATTGTTGGTTAAGGGCTTGTAGTAAGCATTTCACGGTAAGGTCTACACCTGTTGTATTTGGCGAATGTGACAAATAAAGTTTGATTTGCAACAGTAAAATAAATAACTGAGACAATTAACATTGAGCTCCAGTCAGTTTTAGAATGGGTAACTAGCAATAGGCTGGTGCAAAATATCAAAAAAACTAAAAGCATAATTTTTGGGACAAATCACTAGCTCAACCTCGTTTAGATCTATTATTGAATAATGTGGCTATCGAGCAAGTTGAGGAGACTAAACTTCTGGGTGTATCCCTAGATAGCAAGCTGTCTGGATGATAGCGGGGTGAACAGGCAGTGGCTCGGGTGGTTGATGGCCTTGATGATCTTTTTGGCCTTCCTGTGACATCGGGTGTTGTAGGTGTCCTGGAGGGCGGGTAGTTTGCCCCCGGTAATGCGTTGTGCAGACAGCACCAACCTCTGGAGAGCCTTGCTGTTGCAGGCGATGCAGTTGCCGTACCAGCCGGTGATACAGCCTGACAGGATGCTCTCAATTGTGCATCTGTAAAAGTTTGTGAGGGTTTTAGGTGCCAAGACAAATTTTAGGTGCCAAGCCAAATTTAGGTGCCAAGCCACGCAGTCATGGATGAACAGGAAGTACAGGAGTGGGCTGAGCACGCACCCTTGTGGGGCCCCAGTGTTGAGGATCAGCAAAGCGGAGGTGTTGTTCCCTACCTTCACCACCTGGGGGCGGCCCGTCAGGAAGTCCAGGACCCAGTCGCACAGGGGGGGGTTCAGACCCAGGGCCTCAAGCTTAATCTCTATGGGATCGGTGTCCCGTATACGGGACGGTTGAGCTAACTTGACTGTTGTAAGTAACAGCAAACTTTCCAGGACATAGACATGTCTTATATGGTCAGAAAGTTTAAATTCTTGTTAATCTAATTGCACTGTCCAATTTACAGTAGCTATTACAGTGAAAAAATACCATGCTATTGTTTGAGGAGTGCACAACAACAACACAACTTATCACGGCAACTGGTTTGATACATTCACCTCTGAAGGTAAATAATGTACTTACAGTCAGTAATCTTGCTCTGATTTGTCATCCTAAGGGTCCCAGAGATAAAATGTAGCATAGTTTTGTTTGAAAAAATCATGTTTATATTCAAATGTAGGATGTTCTCTATAGTTATGTACTTGAAAATGTATCAATTGACCAATTCGGCACATTTGGGCAGACTTGATAAAAAAATAGTCCAGTATTGCAATGCTTCACTGGATCAATCTGAACCTTTACACATACACTGCTGCCATTTAGTGGCCAAAATCTAAATTGCACCTAAACTGCAATATTATTTAGTGGCCTTTCTCTTTCATTTCAAAGATTATGGAACAAAAAAAAATTAGAAAACTGGGCCGGCAGCCTTGCGAGGGTTAACACATTTAAATGTTTTACTCATGTCGGCCACGGAGAAGGAGAGCCCACAGTCCTTGGTAGCGGGCCGCTTCGGTGGCACTGTGTTATCCTCAAAGCGGGCGAAGAAGGTGTTTAGCTTGTCCGGAAGCAAGACATCGGTCTCGGCGACGTGGCCAGTTTTCCTTTTGTAGTCCGTGATTGTCTGTAGACCCTGCCACATACGTCTCGTGTCTGAGCCG